ACAATCTGAAAGTGAACGCCCTTAAGAAATGCTCGCCAAAATTCCGACCACTGTTCTATGTCCGTTTCGTTAATGATATTTTCCTATTATTCTGACGAAATGAGGATGAACTGTGAATTACATGAGTTGACATTCCAAAAACTGGCCGAATAAGCTTTACTGTTGAAGTGGAAGTTAGCTACGCTATATCCTTTTTGGACGTGCCAATGAAGAGAACGCCAGTGTTTGAACTTCAGGTTTCCTTGTATCAGAAATAAACACACTCTAATCGATACCTACAACCGACTCCTACAACCGGCTTCATGTGTTCCTCCTCTGTTATTTAGCTATACGCTGAAAAACACGCGTTTGCGAGCCCAAAAGACCTGCACTAAAACTTCGGGCCTAAACGCAAAAGTCCAGCATCTACAACAACCTTTTTCAAAGAGCGGTTACCGAAGGAAGATCCTTGGCGAAGAGCTTTTGTACCCCAGCTCAGATTTAAAGTCGGTCAGCTCACAATGACCTATGGTCAATTTAACGTTCGTACCCAGGTATTTCAACGTATTAATTACGAGGTACCTTAATGACATGGGGTTTAAGGTCTACTACAAGACTGGCGGAACATTGGGCGACAGTTTATTTAAAAAGTGTATGCCCATTAATAACCCTGAAGAACTATTAAATGTTGTCCACGAAGATCAGTGCAGAGATTGCGACAAGCTATACATTGGAAAGACCAACCGGAAATTGAATATCCGTATAAATTTGCGCCTTGCTGCCGTCCGCCTTGGACAGACTGACATTTCTGGTATTGCCCAACATGTGATTGCTGAAGGGCATTCTTTCAGTCTAACCAATGTGTCTGTCACAGACAAAGACCAATCTATGTTAGGCCTGCTGGTAAAGGAGTCTTTACATATACTGGCAATGAAAACCCGGATGTGCAACAAATACACTGCTTTGTTGTCATCAGCGAAAACCGGAGTGCAATCACAAAAATGATACGCAAAATAACAAAGATCCGATTTACTTTGATTGAGCATTATACTTTGTTCAGACTGCTTAACAACGTTTTTACTTTTATGATAAGCCAATTGAAAAAGTGGTATTGTTCAATTGTTGAACATAAATGCCTTCAAGCAGTCATTTGTACTCAGTCCAGCCTTGATGTGCTGCAGTTTGTGGAGTGAAATGCATTGACATAAACGGTTTTACCATCTCCTGCATTTGGTGTGCCGAATCGTAAATCATTCAAGCAACCGTATATATAACTATAGGCTCAGATTCAGAAACTTCATGAACCACATATGTATTATATTTCTCTGCTCTCTCTTAATCACATATGATCGTCTTTACAAGATCGTCCCTACAAAAAATTCGAATGATTCCAAATAACATCTTTTCTGCCATTCTGCTTAACACTGATTATGTTATCATCATATGCATAAATACAGTCGGTAATGTATACTTTTAGTCATAAATTGCCATCGATTGGGTCATGTTTAAACCGCGCCTATTTCCGATTATCCAATAGATATTCTACCAGCAAGGTCTCTGCTATGTTCGTATGGCAAGAAACCGACAGCCATAAGTGATAAAATGCTTGACCGGGCGAAACACAACGGAACAAATACTTTTTTCTTAACCGCTGTAAGACGTGGAAGCCGGTGATATGTCTTAAAACGGCGACTGACAAACCTTCATGAGGTTAAGAAATTAAGAGAGAAAAGTTTGTAACCGTTGGAATGTCGGTCTTCTTCATACTTACATGATGAGGCCAATTCTAGCGCCCTCATTTTCTCAACCTAATGGTGGAGAGGTTGATTTACATTTCCCTGTCATCGGCCAGGAGTGCCTTGTCATTTTTTAAATGTATGATCGATAACAGCTGTGACAAGCATAATTTGCATTCTCCTGTTTCCTTCCCTTTCATTTTTCAGAGTGATACTCATTTATCTACCTTTAAAAGAAGAAAGTCGAGTGACCTCGACCGCTGCTCGAGCCCACAACCTCTCGGTTATGAATTCGACGTTCAATCGACCAAGTAACCAATCTCTGAAGCAATGTATGGTAATTCCCTTGCTTAAGAGAATTCGTGGTAAAGACATGGTGATGTGGTAAAGAAGTAAAGACTCTGCTGGTGATGAGGAAGCAACTGTCATTCTTAAGTCTGCCAGCAAAGGAGGTCTACTCATCAGCGGTAATGCTGCTCACTAAACAGTCGGAACAAGCAGATAGTCGAGACATTTCTCGCTGGTGCATTCGTTTCTTAAAACTAAACCTTACCTCGTTTGCTTCATGCAAAATTGAAGCAGAATCTCGGATAGCTATTCGTCATGATTGCGTGTTGGCCCAGGGCCGACCACTTGACCTCGAGGAAGGGATGAGTTCTAAGGCAGGCTCTCCCCAGTGTGCAGGTTATAGCCCATAATGACGTTGCACCCGTGTCAGAGATTTCAAGGACATAAAGGAAAGTACTGCTGGGAGCTTTGAAATGGCAATTAGCAAAATGCATAGGCAATATTGCAGG